ATAGTAATTGAAAGGCCATTACGGTATGTGGTTATGTATTAAATTTTGGTATATTTTATGATGAAGGATGCTTAAACAATTAAGTCAAATGAAAATGGAGATAAAATGATGGTGACATGTATAAATATTTGAGTTAAAATACTTAAGTTAATATCAATTATGTTTGTTGACTGTGGAAGAGATGCACGAAAGTCTTTTTGTAACCAACTGATACACTTTCTATAGCATGTAAAGAAGGATGTTGTAATTGTTTTAAATTAAAAATAAAAAAAATATTTTTTTAAAAAGATCCACGCTATCAACACTTTTGCCCCGCCAATCATCAACTGCTTGCTTGAGAGACAGCAGCAATGGAACTTCAAGCAGAGGAAGTGTCATCGCAGAAGATCCTCATGAAATGAACTATCATCAGATAGCTGAATTGGCTGACAGTGAGAAATCGTATCAGTGGTTGGAAAGGGCTGCGATAAAAGATAGCATCAAAGCCCTGAGCACAGCTGCACAAGTATAGGCCCTAAGTAACAGATCCATAGAAGCAGGGTCTACCACACTAAACATGACCCAAAGTGCAAACCTCAGAAATAGTCCAATACATAGTGGCAGAGAATAAGATGCAAGCAGGAGGACACACTTAATGGTACAATCGACTAGTTGACATTGTGTACAGGAATATCTGCATGGTGGAACAGACCCTCCCAAATCTAGATGGGAGATCCCACAAGAGGTCATAGAAAATAATAGGGTTAAGATCCAATGGGACTTCCAGCTCAAGACAAACAGGCAAATTAACCAAACAGTATGATACCAGACAACTACCAGACAATAGCAGTGGTGATAGATGTAGTGCTGCTAAGCAGCAGCAACATCAGGAAGGAGTATGAGAAGCTGGAGAAATACCAGGGTCTAAAAGAGAAACAAGAAAAGATATGGACTGTAAAGGCCAAAGTGACTCTGCTCTGCCACTGATAAGATCTTTATCTAGTCTTGGTACATCTGCTCAACAGAAATTAGAGGCTCTTGCAACAGTAACTCATAATCTCACCAAATGTCTGGACTATAATGAATTCTACATAGAGCTCTCTTTTTTTTTGAAAAGTTTTTTTTATTGTTTTAATTTATGTATTTTACTATCACTGTACCACAATTCTCATTTAATTACAATTATTTAAACGTGCT